GGCCGTCGGGGTCCTGCGACCAACCCGACGGTGGGCGGCCGCAGGGGCGGCCCGAAACGGCCCTGCCACCCAGGAACTTGTCAGCGGACTTTCGGGCACTCGGAACATAGGACGCCAGGGCCCCGGCCCAGCGTGTTCTCGTAGTAGGGGGAAGGGCCCAGTGGGAGCATCTCAGGTGAACCCCGTTCCCCAGGCTAGTTGGCTCAGGCTGGCGCCCTTCGCTTGGGTCGGGCACCGTGGGTGGCCGCATTCACCGAGTTCCTGTTTCAGAAGCCAGGTAGCCTTCCTCACCTCAGAGTGAGACAGTGGGCTTGCAAGGGTTCTGGGGTGTAGGGAAAAGAAGCTGCACCGAAAGCACAGGGTCACAGCCCTCCCCCAGAACCAGACCTGATCGAAGGGGCAGGTTGAATGTGGGTCACAGGCGTTTGACAGATTAACTGGGTTACATGAGTTGATAGAAGAAACCTAAGGGTACAAGCCCGAGGAGACAGCCCACCTCCGGGTCAGGCTGTGCGGGCGAATCCCCACGCTGTCCGCTCAATGTTTGTGTGATCTTGGTTAAGTTGTATCCCTGTTGTGCGGCAGCTGCTCCACCTGTAAAGTGGGTACAACAACAGTATCTGCCCCACAGGCTGTTTTGGTGATGCCATGAGCTCTCAATAAACGTTTGTTTTTATGAGCCTGGAGCCTGCCACACGCTAGGCACTCTCTAGTTGTGAATACTCTCAGAAGCGCCCACTGGGCTGGGCCAGCCAGTGGGACAGAGTTGAGTCATTCTTGCCCCTGCTGCTGGGACCAGCCTGGAATCCAGTAGATAAGTATCGGGAGCACCCTGGAGAATTGTGGACATGTTCACACCATGGTCAAGCAAATGAGGAGAGGCGAGGATCACTGCAGGATTTCTTCTCCCAGCCCCCCCAGGACCCATTGGTCTCAACTGGCCCATGCAGAAAGCAAGCCTTCAGCTGAAAAGCCTTCAGGAGTGAAAAAAAGGCCAAGAAGGCATTGAGGTGGGAAGGAAAGCCTCAGCTTATCTGATGCTCAGCCTCCAGGAGCAGTCACTTGGCTGGAGTGCCTGGCAGAACTCACTTTCCTGAGTTTGTGGCTTGGCAGATGGAGGTGGGGGTGAGGGGCCAAAGAAAGTGGGGACAGAGCAGGATCCATGGAGATGGCTTTCCGAGGTCCTTTCCAGCCTTCCTTTCAGTAGCCCTTGGGTTTCATAACCCACATGATTCATCCTTTCTGCAAGCGTGAGTCACTTGCTAATAGAGGTGGGAGAAGAGGAGGCGTGGCGGGATGCCCCACCCATACATGCCGAATCCACCTTCACAAGGTCCTCTCTTAGCCCCTGCGTATTGATTTCCCAGCACAATTCCCATTTCCCTGGTAGATTCCACTTCTCCACCCTGCCCTCCCCAGTCAACTGGGCATTCTCTCTGGGCGGGCAGGCACCCTAGGCCCATGCCACGCGACAGAATGTGGGCCTTTCATCTCCCTCCTACAGATGGCCTGAACGCTCGCCTGCCCTGCCCACAGCTGCCCTACTTGAGAGACACAGGCCCTCTGCAGACGGGCCGCCCCAGGCAGATGTGTTGGGCAGAAACAGCCCCAAACTCTCAGCTGTCTCAACCTGACTGGCTGCCCATCCAGTTGGCCCACAGAGGAGGGACCCTGGGAGGATCAGCAGACTGGTTAGAGGCCTTGCTCTGCCACTTACAGCAAGACCTCTGGGCAGCACATGTCCCTTTTCTAGCCCCTGTTGGCCCAACTATCTCTCGGACCCCTCAAATATGTGGCCCTCTCCAAGATCATGCCTCATTACACATAACCTCGGTTATGATGAAGCAGCCCGTGCCTCTTAAGGGTGCCCCCAAGGCAGCTGTGATTTTGACAGGCAGAAGATAAGGGTTTTTCCATAATAATTTGGCAGATGAAGGGATTCGACTCACTGAACTGAGAGGAGACTAAAATGCATCTGAATTTTTATTTGGAGGGATCTGAATTTATTTTATTAACAAATCTGGTCATTTCAGGCTAAATTTCCCATTTGTTATGGAAGTACCCGGGCAATGTCTTGGCTCCAATGTTATAGGAAGATCAGCTTCCCAAAATGAACATCCTAAATCAGATCTCCTCCTGTGAGTTCCTGTTGATTTACATGGTGACAGGATTAGCTCAATCACAGAAGTACCAGTCCTTTGCATTGGGAGAGGAGCTATAATAAAATTTGGCTCGTCTTCCTGCAGGCAGGGGATTTATTACTCACCCAGGGTCCGGCTCTCCAGCCGGCTCTTGAGGGCTGCATAGCTCTGAGGTGGGGCCTGCTTCTTCCCAAGATTGAGATCAGCAGGCCAGGGGACAGGCAGGAAGGACATGGACCAGAAGGGTGATTGGAACCGGGTCATAATGCAGATGTTTTAGAAAACGCTAATACAGAGATGTGATATTTATGCTAACTGCTTCCCAAATCAGAAAAGTAGAGGAAGATTCACCGAGAAGATGTAATTGAGTGATGTGTCCTTAGGCTCATGGTTGATCCCGTTACATTAAGTGCAAGAGTGCTCAGCTGGAGCCAAGGAATACCCAGCATAGCCACGACCACCAGATAGCAGAAGGCTTTGCATAGCCACTTGGAGTGTGATTCAGAAATTGCCTCCATGTAGGCAGTAGATGGAATCCCTAGAGGTGCAAACAGTTAAGCGCTGAAAGGTTGGCAGTTCAAACCCATCCGGGAGACCTTGGAAGAAAGGCTTGGTGGTCTCCTTCTGAAGGACACAGCTATAAAAACCCTATGGAGCACAATTTTACTCTGAAATACATGGGGCGCCATGAGTCATAATTGACTTAAAGACAACTGGTAAGGCAATAGACACTTTACTGGAAAACTGCATTTTTGCAATTGTGCTAGGTTCTGTGGGCCAGGGCAGTGTCCTCAAGATTGTCTGATGGGTTCCACTTTCAGGATACTGGAAAAGAGCATGGTCTCAAATCCCAGCTTCACCACTCACTCCTTGTACAACCTTGGCAAGTTGCTTCAGTTTCCTCTGCTGGAAAATGACGATAATGCTGCTAGTCCCCATGCAGGGGCTTTGTGAAGTATCTGACACTGAATAAGTGCTTGCTTACCACTGTTGCCACAGGGCACAGGAGCACCTTGGTGCCGCATGCTCTGCCTGCCCATCTCTTGGTGTTCTCCTGGCATTCACATGTACCATCCTTCATCCATTCCAAGTTGCACATGTTTTCACAGTCAGCCCCTACTCATGGCAACGTTGCCTGATTTTCAGAAGTAGATCGCCAGGCCTTTCTTCCTAGTCCATCTTAGTCTGAAAGTTCCGCTGAAACCTGATCAGCATCATAAAAAAACAAAATAACCAGTTGCTGTCAAGTCACCTCCGACCTATGGCAACCACACATGTGTCAAAGTAGAACTGTGCTCCATTGGGTTTTCAATGGCTGATTTCTGGGAAGTAGATCACAAGGCCTTTCTTCCGAGGTGCCTCTGGGTAGACCCAAATTTCCAACCTTCAATTAGCAGCCAAGCAAGTTAACCGTTTGTACCACCTGGGGACAAGTCATTTCTAGTCCCTATAAATTAATCTCCAAGGAAGTTCCTATATCATTATATACGTTGTTATCGTGTGCCGCAGAGTCGATTCCGACTCATAGCGACCCCATAGGACAGAGTGGAACTGCCCCATAGGATGTCCTAAGCCACAATCTCCACGGGAGCAGATCACCAGGTCCCCTGTCTGCATCATAGCAATATGAAAGCCTTCACTCACAGACGGGTGGTGGCTGCACATGAGATGCATTGGCTGGAAACCAAACCCAGGTCTCCTGCATGGAAAGTGAGACTTGTACCACGGACCCACCAGTGCCTTCCTTCACAGTTTAACTTCTCTGAAGTGAGGAAACATCTAACAACTAGTGTTTTGCAGTCACCATTGCTCAGGTCTGAAATCCAGTTCTTCTAGAGGGTCTGTGTTTGCTTTGCCAGTAATCTGGGGGCACCAGCCCCTGAGACCTCTTGGGAGGCTACAGAGGCAGTGTGACCTCAGACTGCAAAGTGGCATGTGAACCAGCTTACAGTTCAAACGACCAGGGGAGGCTCCTTCTCTACTTCTCCCTCCCTCCACCAGGGCCAAGGTAGAGACAGAGGGCTTCCTTGCTATTTATTTCTATGTGGTAGGTTTATTTCTCATTTTCTCCTACACTAACAGGATAGCATTTTCTTGTTTCAGCTTTATGGAAGGATCTCCTGTGAGACTTTCCATCTCGGACATTTTTATTTGTATTTATTTTTTTATTGTGCTTTAAGTGAAAGTTTACAATTCAAATTAGTTTCTTATACAAAGATTTATACAAACATTATTATGTGACCCTAGTTGCTCTCCCTATACTGTGACATCACACTCCTCCTTTCCACCTGTGATTCCCCATGTCCATTCAACCAGCTCCTGACCCTCTCTGCCTTCTCATCTTTACCTCCGGACAGGAGCTGCCCGTTTAGTCTCATGTATCTACTT